GGAATGCCTGGAGAAGCTGGGACTCAACCCAAATCACCAAGTAAGTCTTCTTTGATTTGTTTTTTTTTTTTTTTTTTTTTTTGGGGGGGGTATGGGGATGGGAGGATAGGGAGGAGGGTGGGGAGGGAGGGAGGGAGAGGGGGGTGGGAATGGAAAGAGGGAGGGGGTGGGTGGGGAATGAAGGGAGAGGGGAGGGAAGGGAGGGAGGGTGGGGAGAAAGGAGGGGAAGAGGGGAAGGAGGGTGGGGAAGAGGGAGGAGGGAGGGAGGATAGGTGGGTAGGAGGGAGGGAGGGCTGGGTGGAGAGAGGCAGGGAGGAAGGAAGGGATGGAGTGTGAAAGAAGAATGGACGGAGGGAGGCATCGATGGACAGATAGATGAAAAGAGGGATGGAGAGAGAGGGAGAGGATGAAGGGAACGAAGGAAGGAAGTAGGAATAAAGGAAATGCAACGAAAGAGAGAAAGTGGGAAGAGGTGGAGGGAGAGGGAGGATAGGATGGAGGGAAGAAACAAGGAAATAGATATAAAAAGAAGGAAATGAAGGAGGGAGTAGGAAAATAGAGAAGGGACTGAGAAGGAAATATAGAGGGCGGAAAGGAGTAAAAGAGAGAGATAGACAGACAGAAAGAGGGGGAATGAGAGAGAGAGAGAGTGAGAGAGAATTATTAATAATATCTCACTGAAAAAAGTATTTTTATCCTAGGTTAATTAAACGCTATATACACACTTAGGTGTACTATGCATACACTCCACACGCTTAACATACACTATCACACACATGACTTACTCTCACCCACACATGCACGCAGTTACGCTGTTGCACACACAGACATACTCGTAAGCATACACGCGCACACACACACACACATACACGCACACACACACACACACACACACACACACACACACACACACACACACACACACACACACACAACACACGCACACACACATAAACATACACACACCATACACACAAACACACATAAACACACGCACACACACACACAAACACAAACACACGCACACGCACACACACACACACACAAACACACATAAAACACACGCACACACACAACCATAAACTCACGCACACACACAAAACACACGCACACACAGCCGCCTTTAACCCCCTGACCCCCTCCACCCTCCGCCCACAGGTCCCTCAACCTGTACCCGAAGAGCGAGCGCCTGTGGCAGTTCCTCCACCAGGTGCAGACGAAGCTCTCCCGGCCACGCCCCCCCAGGACGCCCTCGTACCCAGGGCCTCTACCGGACACGCCCCCTGACGCCTCCCCTGACCACGCCCACCACAGGAGTCTGGCTAATACCCCCCCGTGCTCCCCCACAGAAGACCCCAGGCAGCCCAGGCTCAATACCTACTGACGGTGATGGGCGGGAGGTGGGCGGCGGGCGTGACGACGAGGACGGTGGTGACGAGGGAGAGGGAGAGGATGGTGAAAGTGATGGTGACTACGATGGTGGTGGTATAATGGTATCAACGACGGTGGTGAAGACGATGATGGCGACGATGGTGATGGTGAGGGAGATGATGGTGACGACGAGGGTGGTGATGGTGAGGATGATGATAGTAAATGTGATGGTGACTACGATGGTGATGGTATAATGGTGACGACGATGGTGGTGAAGACGATGATAATGATGGTGAGGAAGATGACAGTAAATGTGATGATGACGACGATGATAGTGATGGTGATAATAACGATGATGGTGACGTAAATAATGATAATGACGGCGACGGTAATGTTGACGAAATTAGCAATGAATGTAATGGTGAAGATGAAGATGGTGATGATGACGACGACGATGAAGACGATGGTGTCGCTGAGAGCCAATAAAAAAGTATATTATGTGTGCCTCCGTGTTCGTTCGTGCGTGTGTGATGGCTGTTCTCAACAAGCTAAAAAACGAAATAAAGAAAATCATATAACACATGTAACGTTTGTAAATGTTGTGCTGCAGTTGAATTCCATGTTCCAGAGACATTCGGCGTGAAGGCAGGAGGCTCAGAGATCAAATCCTAACGACAAAAAGCTCACAATTATCAAAAAAAGGTTTAAAAAAAAAAAAAAAAAAAAAACAAAGACGAAATCATAAGTGTATCTTCCTCATGCTCACCTCAATTGCCATACGTGTATATACCGTGTTTTATCTATATTTGTTTGTGATGTCCGGAAATGGTTTCATTCGGTGACGTCCAGAAGTGAATTGACATCCATGTTCAATGTGTGGGCAGAGAGACCTCGTCAAAGCACAGCTGACAGCGGCAGAATCCGTGCTCCTCAAGTGCACTCAAAATGCATGTGCTTATTTTGCACATCGGTCAGGAAAGCGTGCATATACATCAGTCGTCAGCCCTCCTTTGACTTCCTTATGCTGATCATTTAACCAACCTGAATCATATTCATGTTGGCAAATGTAGAGGTATGAATGAGAATGGATATCTTCACAATACAAGAGATGTATTTGATCGGTTTCGAA